CTCTCTCTCTCTCTCTCTCTTCTCTCTCTCTCTCTCTCTCTCTCTCTCTCTCTCTCTCTCTCTCTCTCTCTCTCTCTCTCTCTATGTCCTAATAACTAAACGCGAATTCGGTACAGTCGCCCGTGTGATGGCAGAAGTTTCAATCGCAAGAATATGAATCAAATTTTTTATTTGGCGTGCTAAGAAAATTCTCGTAAGCTTTCTCAGCGAAACTTTAGCAAAGAACCACGACATACAATCGCGTATCTCCGTTCTGTGCTTCCGAAGGGAATTCTCTTCCCTTCTGCATTTCTATACTCTGTTCGCAAATCCAATCCACGACAGTTCAACGCACGAAGGAAGCAGGTGGAATATCTTTAGGAACGTTTTGTTATAGAGGCGAACGAAACGATGGTAAAAACGTCGAGGGTAATAAGGAAGATCGTGAGCTAATTTCGATGCAGGGAAGTTGCGGATACCGCCGGAATGATTATCGCTGTCAATTTCACGAATCGCCGCGCCGCCTGCGCTCGCAGATTTCCTATGTATCCGCAACGCACGTTCTTGAAACACTTTCGATGCTGTTCGGTCAGCAGATGCTATGCATTTTAAGCGGCCCCCGTCTACTAAGAGGTCACACCGAGCGAATTTCGATAGGAGGCCATTGTTCTCGAATAATAATCATCGTTAATTGCATTCGCGCGTAATTGCCTTTCGTCTGCATATTCCGTTTACGAACTAGTTATTAATGTATTTTTCTTATACGTCGTTATAATTTCAGTTTACTGTTTTAATTTATTTAATAAAAAAAGTCTAAGCAAACATTTATGGAAGCTTGATTTAGAAATAATAAATTTAATTATTAGATATGCAAAGTATCATACGATGAAACTTTCTGCACTGTATACAATAAAAGTTTTTCTTGCGTCCTATGTTTCGAGACATGCGAATTATACATTATAAAAACAATATTGAACAAAATAAGAAAAAGAAGAAGGAGTAGAAGCAGAAGAATTATTAAGAAAAAAGGTAAAAGACCCCGCACTTTCCTTATAGAAAATGGCCCTCGGCCAAATTCGTTCAAAATGTAGTATATTGTTCTTCTCGATGTGTTGAACAAAATCTCAATGGGCTCAAGTTGCGAAAATGGACAGTTTTCGAAATAATAGGAGTCAAAATGTTAAAATGCGGACAATTCATGATGATGTACACCAGAGATAACAGCTGTAAAACGAGTGACTAGATAAAAGCATGTGGTCAAATACAAATCTGTACGACCACTATGTATACTGAACGACAACAAAATTAAAGGGCTATTTGGGACATAAAGACCAAACCTAACTTTGCACCTCATAGACCCAAAATATTTTTGTCCAAACAACAATCAACTTATTCAAGGACGGCTATCCGCAGTAATTGATTGATGAAGTCAAAGTGTGATTTTGTCAATAAGAAAAGAACACAAACCTAGTGTGACGAGAAGAACACGTAACATGGCAGCATAGTCACGATTTTGACCCTTATTATCTCGAAAACTGTCCATTTTCGTAATATGGGGCCATTGAAATTTTTGTTCAGTACATCGAAAGAAACAACATTTTTAGTCGCCGACGGTGACATCGAGAAGAACAACATACTACATTTTGAAAGAATTTGGCCGAAGGCCATTTTTCATAAGGAAAGTGCAAGGTCCTTTACTTTCTTTCTTAATAATTCTTCTTCTTCTACTTCTTCTTATTTTTCTTATTTTGTTCAATATTGTTTTTATAATGCACAATTCGCATGTCTCGAAACATAGGACGACAAAAAAAACTTTTATTGTATACAATGCAAAAATTTCGCAGAAGGCCATTTTCCATAAGAAAAGTGCGGAATTCTTTGGAAGGAAACCATTGCACAAACAGTGTCGTTTCAATTACAATAGCTAGAAATCGAAAAACTTGAGTCATGGCTTCGTGAAGACCTATATGGTATAAAATCAATTGTTTACTTAATTTGCAATAAATTGACAGATGATATCAAAAAGTAATAGTAACACGCCAAATATTAAAAACACACATAAGCAAAGCAAAAGATATTATTTTAGAAGAAAAAGAATCAAGAAAGCGTGCGATAATAACAGTTGTTTTACAATATTAATATAAAAATGCTACAACCGTTACAACCGAAAGAAATAACGTTACAACCGAAAAAATAGCATTTTTTAATAAAATTGTATCCTGTAATAAAATAAAATAAAATTTTAATATATGTGTGAATGCTCCCTGTCTCATCGAATGTATCGATCGAGTGTCCCCAAATATCACAGCCACCTCTGAACTAGTTGAAAAGCTGAAAATGATGTCGTGACGATGGACTGGCCGGCAAATTCCTTTGATGGCAATTCTATTGAAAACGTGTGGAGTGTCATCAAAACTTGCGGAATTAGTGAAAGGAAAAAAACCTATTCTCATTTGCATGTTTATTCTGTAACTTGCACTAGCTAATGACAATGCCATTAGCCTATATGTCGTTGGGCAACTTTTTTACTATGTAGAAAATGTTTTATATGTTCTGTTATGTTCTGTTAGGGTAAACTCAGGTATCATGGCCATACTGCACGGAAAAAAAGGTGTTTGTCGCAGCTACAATAGTTGTAAAATATATGGTCACCTGAAAATATTTTGGGGTTGTTTTCTTTTGTAAGAGACCAAATCATTATTTTCGCTTCCAAACATATTCTCCAGAGATTTCAAAAGACTCAAAAGATTTTGTAGATATGGAGTATCTTTTCAACAGTCAGGTACAATATTTTGCTTATTTTCCTTATTCATCGTCTTTCGAGTTTCTCCTTTTCCGGGAAGGTTATCAATGTTTTTTACCTCTTCATATCTTTTCACCCATTTCTCCATGAATCTCTTTGACTTTTCAGTTATTTTCGTAGCGGCGGCGTAGTTAAGATATGAATTTTGTGAATATATGCAAGAAGACTGCTTCAAATCGCTTGAAGTACACAACATTTATTTTAGTATACGTGTGCTTTTTACAACAGTCAAACGATAATAAAACAAATGAAACGACTAGTCAATTTCTGCCTCCACAGTCAAGTAGTTAAGGCTCCTAGCCCCTCACATTACCTATCTCATTGTAAATTAACCTGAATAGAAATAGACGAAAAAATTAAGATTAAAAAGATAAATTGTATGTCACGTTAATTTACGACAAATTACACAGGCCCACAATTTAAAAAAAGTTGTCTGTGCTGGGGGTTTGACTAGGTGTACTATACGTATTTTGGGCTGCTGAATCCAAATCCGGTGTCAGATTTGCTCCATCACCCTTGAGTTTCTCGGAAAATCGAGGAAATCGTGAAAAGGAGCAGATATCCAAGTTTTTACGAAGACATATATTCAAGAAAAATTCTAGAGTGACAAATAACCTCATAATCTCACAACCAACGTTGAAAATACATTATGTACTTCAACGTGGAAAACGAATCATTCTACACATCCCCTACGGGGCAATTGTCATCGTCTCCAACATTCTCTGAAGCAGCAGGATTTATCTGATCGACGATCATATATTGTAGAATTGATATTTCGAATAGAAAAAAGATTCCATCTCGTGGACAATAACATGAATGTGACCATGATAGGGCACGCACAGATTAGATTTTCTAATCTATGCGATGTTAAAGGATTAATAGGTGAACTAAAACCGAATATGTATGATGGTATATGGGTTATTGGGTTGTTCTAGTCATCAGATGTTGAAGTATAATGTATTTTCAACGTTGATTGTGGGGTTATAGGATTATTCGTCACTCTAGAATTTTCTTTGAATATGTCTCCGTAATAACACGGATATCTGCTTCTTTTCACGATTTCCTCGATTTTCCGGGAAACTCAAGGGTGATGGAGCAAATCTGACACCGGATTTGGATTCAGCAGCCCAAAATACGTATAGTACACCTAGTCAGACCCTCAGCACAGACAATTTTTTTTAAATTGTGGGCCTGTGTTATTGATTGTTAGAGCAAAAGGAGAGTGGACGGAATATCTTACAAATTTGTTTAATCAATTGCAAGTGTTACTTTATGGATATATATTTTTATTTCAACGTATTTTGCAAGAATTTTTTGCATGTATTTTCGCGCTTCTGACGTCATTAAAAAAAGATAAACAATGCAAGGGGCCAGGAGCCTTAAAAAAATGGGAAATCTGCTGGATCAAATATATTGAGCTCGATGAAAACTATATTGAGAAATAAACTCGAATTAAAAAAAAAATGATTAACCTGCTTTTTTAAAATACTTATCAATCAACCCTCGTACATCTCTGTATATACATGTATTGTTATGGGATTAATACAGAACGTGACAAACGTTTGTCACGGCACATTTTTGCCGATTTTCGACTTACTTCAGAAATTGCCTCTAGAAGGCTCCAACCACCAAACTCCACGCTGTCCTTTATTTTATACCTCCTTCGCACTCTCTCCGCCAATAGTTACAGGGTTAGTTACAGGGTAGGTTACATGGAAGTTAGTTATAGGGTAGGTTAGGAAGAAAGGTGGGACTAAGGAAAATGTAGAGAAGGGATGACCAGTTGGGACCGTGCTCTGCCTTTTCGCATTCAAAGGGTACCCCGAAACGACAAAGAGGCCGCTAAAGATACGCCGCTCTATCTTTGACACGATCAGCTTATAAGTTCTTAAGAATCTTGTCTAGCGACAGTTGTCGAAAACGTTCAACGCGAATCGGTTGTCTACTAGACAGGTAAAGCTTATAAGTAAAGCTTTTTCATAGTGCTTTTCATAGTGCTTTTCATAGTGCTTCGCGTAGTATCAAATATACTTCAATATGGAAGTGACAGTTTACTCCAATACAATAGAAAAGTTGGTCAATACAATTGGTGAGTATAGTGGTTATATATATAATGAAATGATCGGTGTGCAATTTTTATCTATAAGTAATGAATGCAGTGTGATTAACAATTATTTTTTACGTTGTATTTTTCGCTTTCTCACGGTAAATTTCGAAATGTAATCAAGAATATATTGTACAATATATGTGGCTTTTTATGTAAGTACGCACACGGCGTCAAAGATACCGCGCACAGGAGCATTCATTTCTTAAACTTTTCGACAATCGTATAATTTACTCCCTAAATTTCTTAGAGTGAAAATCTCATTCGAAAAATAGAGTGACAACCGAGTCACTCAAACTGGATTAACTTCTTACTTTTATAGAGAGTGAATTCTTTTATTCTGTATCGTGGAGTGAAAATTTTCACTCTGTCGTGGAGTAAATTTTCGTTCGATAAATGGAGTGATGGTTGTCACTCAAGTTAAAGTTACTTTTTACTCGTGTAGAGTGAATTTTCAATCGTGGAAGAGTGAATCATTCGAAAACAATTTATATATTATTATAATATTGTAAAAGTATTGAGTTTTAGAAATTCGCAAGTTTTATTACTATGATTTTTATTGGCGAATTACGTAGACTAAACATCAATAATTATCTTTTTGTTCAATATTAAGTTCTTCTAGATGCATTTAGCTTTTGTACAAATGTTTTTTGAATATTTTAATCTTTATCATTTTTTTACTGTGTAACTTGAACAATTTTATAAGAATATGTTTTAAAGTGACATACCTATAGTAGGCGATAGCTACGATAGCCTGTGACTAACATAACCTGATTCTAACCTCACATTGTGAAGTGACATGTGTTGTATATGAGCTTACTCTGCTGCAATAATATAAACGTAAATCATTTTCAATAATTATTTGTAATTATATACATCAGTGAACACTAACTAATATAAATATTGCTTTTAAATAAAATGAATATTATTCAATCATTAAACGCATTAACGAACTATTTATTATCAAATATTATCATATATGCAACATGTTATATAACTTCTAATAGGTATGTCGCTTTTGGCATTTTTTTTTAACTCTATTTTCGTGTGTTTTACAAAAACATTTTTTGTTTTAAGTCTAGAAACAATTTCAGTAAAAATGTGATATTATCTGATAGAGGGTACTTCCAACTACATATATATACATTTACATTTATATTTTTGGCTTTACATTAAGACATATTTTGGGCTTTACATTAAGACATAATCTTCAAAAACAAAGTGATGTCACTTTTGGTGCTTTTACTCTACATATAACTCATATATTTGCTTCAAATAATAGTAATGATTATTTCATTCAATTTTAGCATAATGATGCAAGTGTTAAGTATTAAGTGTTAAGTAATAAACTGTTGAATGTCTGCATATTGCGCCTATAATACATATACAGAGTATCCCAGAGTTTCCTCCGCAATTTTTGTGGAAACATAAGAAGGATTGAGGTGAATATAAAAATCCTATACCGTTGTGCGATTTTTGCAATAATACTCGAGATATTAATTAAAGAAGACTAGTAAATGATCACGCGTAATATGGTAGATGAACTGTAGTGGCGATGTGTACTGTTGTGTGCTTGTACATTAAGTCAAATTGAACAAAAAAGCCCTTTATTATTTTGCAAATAATTACGTAGATTTTCAGATATTAATAAAAGAAAATTATTACGTGATTGTGCGCAATAATGCACAAATCTTTAATTTTCGAGGTCGCTGATTATAAATTTCAGAACGGAATTTTGAAATATAAATTAACGCATCTAATAATAAAATCTAAAAAATCTAAAAGGCTATTGATTTTTCGAAGTTATGATTCGCCATATTGGATTTGCCATTTTCAATTCTGCAATGTTTACGTCGAAATTGTAATAAATAGAAACCCTTCTATACCGAGTTTATAAAATCTAACAAGATTTTTTATGTTTCGAATATATAATCCGTCATATTGGATTTGCTATTTTGAATTTTACAATTTTGACTTCAAAATAATATTCAACAATCCCAAAAGCATCTGTATACCAAGTTTAAAAAAAGTTCTCAGACTTTTTTTCTGCCCATGAGGACACAAACAGTAGAATTGAACATGCCGCCGAAAGGGTTAATTTATATCTCGAGATTTATTGTAAATATCGCAAATAGTATGGGACTTTTATGTTTATCTCAATCCGTCCTACGTTCTCAAAACTTGCGGAAGAGAGACTAGAACATCCTAGGTAAATCATATTTTTTGGCGGACGCATGTCACGATACGGTAAACTAATGCAACATATAGTTAGACCGATATTTTAGTTTTAGCTTAATTACATTTTAATTAAATAAAGGATTAAATCCAATTTAAATAATGTGCCCCTCAGCGCGATATATTTAATCGGTATATCTTGATACGATTTCATGTTTCGGAGACCGAGTTTCGTTGCCGCGAGCTAAGAAGATTATTGCACGATTTTGCGTGATAGTGCACTCATCTTCTTTAATTAATAATTAAAAATCTATGTAATTATTTACAAAATGATAGAGGACATTTTTGTTCAATTTGACCTAAAGTATAAGTACACGACGGCAATTGTTGCTACTATAACTCATTTACCATATTCTGCATGATCATTCATAAATTTTTTACAATTAATATCTCGATAATTATTGCGAATATCGCAAATCGGTATAGGACTTTTATGTTCACTGCAACCTGTTCTACCTTTTCACAAAATGCCCGGAGGAGAATGTGAGACACCCTGTATATTTTATATATAATATTTTTATAGGTCCTGATGTAGCTGTGTACGTAAAAATAACAAAGGACGAAGAATGTACGAAAACTACAAAGAAAGAGCAGCCCGTATATAAGTGCTGTATGTGCTCCGAAAAGAGTAACAGAAGTTTTAATATAGTGCGTCATTACGACAGGTTTCATGTATCAAAAACGACAGAATTTGGCTGTTCATATTGTGGTAAGAGTATATTTTGATTATTTAGAAATATTTAATTTATAAAAAATTAAATTTTTCCCTTAGCTCTAGTACAAACCAAATTAAAAATATCGGCATACTTATTCGTGCCTTATAATTGATAAAAGATAATTGCTTTTAAACAATTGATGTTTTTTCAAGAAAGAAAGGTTATAAAAATTAAGTATAATAAAAAAAATTATTTTTAGATGAGAAGTTTAACATTAAATCGCATAAACAAGTACATGAAACATTCTGTGGAAAAAGGACAAATAAAAATAATAAAAAAAAATTAAAAAGTGTTATAAAAAAAAATCAAGACGAAAATATACCAATAATGAATAAGTTGGAGACACGGACTTCTTATGATGACCCAACTGATACGCTACATGACGAGCTAAATGCCGCTTTATACCTCGTATGCCCTGATGAAAGAGAACAAATAGAAAGGATAAAAATGGCAGTATTAGGATTGATGAAATTGTGCGGTAATATAGGTATGTTAAGGTTCCTCGTATATACTTTGCCGTCTAATTAAAATTTTTATTAAAGAGATATCTTTCGGCTTGTGCTCAAGAGCTCGAGCCAGTGGTGAGAAATCGAGTCCGAGCGTGTTAACGTTTTTTTCCTCTATTTACACATCAGAAACATCTATCTGTTCATCCAATAGATAGACCGAGCATCTCTGGTGCGTAAAACCTATATTAGAGATCGTCTACAATGGAAGCCGTGAAGTCGTAGGTCGTAAGAAAACTGACAAATCATAGTCGATTATTCTCCTTGCGGTCGAAGAATAACTGGCTGTGATTAGTCAATTTGTTTATGAGCTTACGGCCTACAACTTTAAAACTTCTATTGTATACGATCTCTAAAGGGTCATCTACAATGGAGTTGGCAGTAGACAGTAAGACGTAAACAGTAAGCGAGCTGACAATCACAGTCGGTTATTACAAGAATAATTGACTATGGCTGGACAGTAGCGTGTGGAGAGGATACGCCCACGCTAGAGCATACTGCCCGAAACTACAAATGGCATCACTGATTGGATATTATATCGTATGTCACTCTACACATACGCAGAAGGTCTCCTATCATGAAGAAAATCTTTCTAACTCGCAACACTAAGGGCCGATTGTTCCAATTCTTAATAAGCTACGTGATAGTTAAATCACTTGTCTGTCTCTGTTCAATTTGAAGAAAAAACGAAGATAACATATTAATATTAACCATATAATTTAACTGTCAGATAGCTTATCAAGAAGTTGGAACAATCGGCCTTGAGTGAAAGGCGAAAAACGTTAGCGCGCTGGGACTTGATTTTCTATCACTGGCTCGAGCTACTGAGTATGCATATAGCTCCATCTCTGCAATTATAACAAGTTTTATTTTATTTTTAATGTATATTAAACCTTCTATTTTAATGCACGTCATATCACTCAGATTGAAACTATTTTCTAATTGGATTAACGATTATGTCATACGATTGTTCTGCTTAATTATTTTTAACATCCAACAACATATAGCATATAGCTAATCTGTCTCTGCAACTATAACAAATTTTATTTTTGTTGTTAGAAGAAAGTTAATAGGAAGACCCGACTGATAGGAAGACCCGACTGATGGCAAGACCGAACTAGAAACCTGACCACAGATTTACAGACAGCACCGAGAACCTATAACCACTATTTACCTCACCACCTGTAATAAAGCTGCACTTCGAGATTACGGATCGGCACAGAGAGTATCAGAGCGTACTCGTTAGTACGCACGGTATGAGTATTTTGGAAGTTACATTAACGGATGTCCCTGCTTGCTCCCGTGCCTTCACGAACGCGAATGCAGCAGCTCGCAAACCATATATTTATATTAATTATATTTACATTTATATTTATAGTGCATCCGATATCCGATGTATAACGATCGGATGTCTAATAGTAGAGTTTGTTTCTTGGAGTTTCTAACTACTAACATTTTTGTTTTCGGCAAACTAATTTTCTTATTGGATATCGAATTTTCGAATATCGAATATCGGATGCGGTAATAGACAAATCCTATAATAGACATATTTTCAAGAAGCATAAACATTTAAGAAAACTGCGTCGTCATCATTTTGTGAACTTTATACACTGTTGATGGGAGTGGATAGGGATTCTTTGTTCAATTCGATCGGATGAGAGACACAATTCCCGTGCACGAACGGTTAATATTCAGTATTCTGCAAGTAATCGCGGTGCAATAAATTCGCGCGTGCTACGTCTGCGTCATCGCAAGAACATTACAAATTAATTCGCGATCCCCGACCTGGGTAACGATCTATCCGGCATTTCATAGTCGTCTCGCGCGTGCATGCGCGCATTAAACTCTCTCTTTTCCCCGCGGCCCCGTGAAAATTGCATCTATTAAAACATTAGCACGGCCGTCGTTGAACCGTCAAACGATTCGCAGCAGCGAACGTTACCATCGAATTTCTCGCGCGACGTCAACTGGAAATACAAAAGTGAACGCGTACGTAAAGTGATGAAGCGTCGACGCGTTCCGTTCGTATCGTTAGCAACAAATTGCTTAATACTCGACAAAATACTTGATAGACGCGATATCTGTAAATCACTTCAATAGTGCAACTAATGTGTCGACCACCGTCTCAAAAGATTAACAAATATTTTTGCGATAAGTTCATTTTTGTCAACTTTTGAATAAATATCCATATAGCACAAATATTCACTAGATATTCTAAGAACTAAGAATTCTAAAAATATTCGAATATTCTTAGAATGTTCTTAGAATATCTATTGAATATTTGTGCTGTATGGGTATGCGCATACTTGCGCACGTTGTAAATACGCTAACGCAGTTGCGGCGTGAGAGAAATTAATGACACAGTAATGACATTACCTCAGAAAAGGGAGACAGAAAGAGATATAGAGAGAAAGAGAGTGAGAGAATAAGCTGTGAGCTCCGTTAAGCCCATAAACGTTCACTGGGCACTGATAACGGAATTATCAGTGAGAATTGTTTAGCGCGAGGCTACTATAATCGTGTGCCACGCGCGACTAATTATTTCAACGTTCATACTTAACCGCACGGTTTAATTAACCCTGTATCTACGCAGTTAGGCATCTATCCACGGATACGATACTGCCGCAATTGCAATAATGTAAAATTAAGATTACGGCGTGTAAAATTATCGCCATTGTACTATTCTGTTGTGCTATTCACCATCGGGCTTTTGGATCCTCTCCCAAACTCTCTCTCTTATCTCTTTTTTTCTCTATCTCGATTATTATAGTATAATATATGTGTAATAATAGTATAATATATATTATAGTATGATATATGTGTATATATCATAATATAAGTGATATATAAAACATATACATTAATTAAATAAATGACAATATAACGATAATGTTTATATGAATCAAATATATAGTTATATATATAGTTATATATATAGTTATATATATTGGTTTATAGGATGGTTATATATATTGTCTAATAGATAGACAACACTGAAAAATATCTATTTGCGGATCTATACCTAAGTCGAAACGATGACTGTACATTAACTCTGCAAATTTTATCGAAATTGTGAAAAGTGACATAAATTTTTATCCTTTTTACTTTCATTTTTTATTTTTTCTTTTTTATTGGAAAAAAGGAATGTTTGTCATTGTTTTAAGACAATAGATTTTAAATTTCGACTTGAGTATACCCTTTATATACAGATTCCAATATTCATTTTTAATACGTTGCTATTTATATAAGATCATAAGAGTGCCTATCAATACACCAATATAATGAGTAAGCAACGAGTAAGATAAAATTAAAAAAATATTTTTAATATTAAAATTTAAGGTAATTTAATATTAAGATTTGAATCAGAGTATCTGCGTATAGTGTAAAATATTGGATAATAATTATTGCATATGACTCGGTTGCCTTATAATATTGAATCAAATAGTTGTTCATATTGTCAGCTAAATAATGTAAATACGCAACATACTTGTATAATATTATATTACATTAGAATAAAATGTTTAATTGCATTCTAAATTCTCTGTGATATATCATCTACATTATCTGATGTAGACTATGATATATTCTACATATTATATAATATCTTTGAAGTCTGAACAAAATTAATTTTTAAAAATATCATACGCAATCAGCAATTATAAGGCACACATTATTTAAATCATAGCGAGAATATTACCCGAATGTTTGCGTAAAAATAAGGGTAAAATCTCCCTTATTTTTCTTTCGTAAATAATCAATGCGATTCATATCTACATATGCGTTATAAAGTTTTATAAAATAAATTGCATTATAAAATTGGTTTTGTGTCTGCTCACCAATGCGTTATAAAGTTTTATAAAATAAAGTGCATTATAAAATTGGTTTTGTGTCTGCTCACCAATAAACGATGAAATCCATCGATCTTATGTCCCATTCGAATATCTTATGTCCATAACGAATTCTTATATTCATTTCAGCTTTAGCCTCCATGATATTCAGCTTTCTCTTGTCAATGACACTCTCGTTAACTCTAAGATACCACACTTTAAAAAAATCACGGCCTTGCCATACTGGGACAATGGCTACTTTACGTCATATATTCGTTATAACTTTTACAAAAGTCAACCGATTTCAAATAAATTATTTTTTCATTGAAAATCCAGACTTCAAGGAATTCGTCTATGTATAGAGAAGTAAAAAGGATAGTAAGAAAAGGATAGTAGTTTGGAAAATCTTCGCTTATAAGAAAAAGTTACCCTCGAAAAAAGTGGCAGACTTTGTAGTTTTAAAAAAAATCCTTGGGATAAAATTTACCTAGTATAGTAATCTAAAGTAAAAAAAAAACTTTAAAAAAACTCCCGCAACGTGTATACCGAAATCGCGAACTGAAGACTGTCTTTAAAAAAATCGTGAGATTTTTTAGATATACAATGTCCCGTCATTACCGCATTATCTTAAGGACGGATTCTTGAGGTAATTTGAAGGTAAAACTTCTTTAGCGGACCCCCTCAAATAACCTTGATTTTGACATATGTTATAGAGGTCACTCTCCTGAGTGACCTTCTGAGGGTTTTAACCGTCGTTGTTTATTAAAAAGTTATTAACAAAAAATTGTATGAATGTAACGTAATTTTTCAAGACAGTTCTATAAAATACACAATTTTCTTTTCATTTTTCCTCACTGAGAAATTCTCACTCTTTAGTTTAAGTACAACAGACTTGCCCCCCCCCCCCGCCGCGATGCGGGGGGTCTGGGGGACGTAACCCGTTACACGGCTAAAGATAGGCATCTTTTTTATTAATATCTCGGAAATTAAGCGACCGCCATATAGTTATGTTTATATTATTGAAATATGATAAAAAATAAAAAAGGTGCCTGTCCCTAGTCGTGTAACTGGGGGATTATGTCCCCTGACCCCCCGTACCGCGGTGGGGGGGCGCAAGTCTATTGTACTTAAGCTAAAGAGTAAGAATTTCTCACAAAAGTATGAGAAAAAGTGTGTATTTATAAAACTTAAAATATAATAGGAACACACGCACACATCACGAGCCCGCCTTTTCGGGCGGGCGAGCGCGCTTGCTGGTGAGCAATGTGTGTGTGTGTGTGTGTGTGTGTGTGTGTGTGTGTGTGTGTGTGTGTGTGTGTGTGTGTGTGTGTGTGTGTGTGTGTGTGTGTGTGTGTGTGTGTGTGTGTGTGTGTGTGTGTGTGTGTGTGTGTGTGTGTGTGTGTGTGTGTGTGTGTGTGTGTGTGTGTGTGTGTGTGTGTGTGTGTGTGTGTGTGTGTGTGTGTGTGTGTGTGTGTGTGTGTGTGTGTGTGTGTGTGTGTGTGTGTGTGTGTGTGTGTGTGTGTGTGTGTGTGTGTGTGTGTGTGTGTGTGTGTGTGTGTGTGTGTGTGTGTGTGTGTGTGTGTGTGTGTGTGTGTGTGTGTGTGTGTGTGTGTGTGTGTGTGTGTGTGTGTGTGTGTGTGTGTGTGTGTGTGTGTGTGTGTGTGTGTGTGTGTGTGTGTGTGTGTGTGTGTGTGTGTGTGTGTGTGTGTGTGTGTGTGTGTGTGTGTGTGTGTGTGTGTGTGTGTGTGTGTGTGTGTGTGTGTGTGTGTGTGTGTGTGTGTGTGTGTGTGTGTGTGTGTGTGTGTGTGTGTGTGTGTGTGTGTGTGTGTGTGTGTGTGTGTGTGTGTGTGTGTGTGTGTGTGTGTGTGTGTGTGTGTGTGTGTGTGTGTGTGTGTGTGTGTGTGTGTGTGTGTGTGTGTGTGTGTGTGTGTGTGTGTGTGTGTGTGTGTGTGTGTGTGTGTTAACGGTACACAGTATCGAGAAATTGTTATACATTTTTCTAACTTCTTTCATCAATAACTTTTTAACGGACAATAAGCGACGGCTGAAACTTTCTGAAAGTTACTCAGGAGGGTGATCTCTATAACATATGTCAAGGTTAAGGTCATTATTTAAATAAACATTATTTAAATAATAACAATTTCGTCAAAATATTATGAATAAAATATCACACAATACATTTATGAGAATCAGTAAGCTGTCACACATTTGACGTTTTTTTCAGGGATTTACAACTAATTTCATATCTTATGCAAATTTTCACTTATATGCATGCACCTATACCATTGTGTGTTGTACCGTACCTGAGCGCGCGTACTTTAGCTAATATAATTAGTCAACTTTAATAATTTATAATTTGAAAAGTATTATAGCCTTAATAATTTATAATTTGAAAAGTATTATAGCCTCGACATTTTTGCATTAGGA